TGGTCGTTATCTTTCCCCACGCTCTCTCTTCAAAATCCAAGGGAGAAAAAAAAAAAGCAACAAGCATTGACAGGGAATCAATCTTATTTAAAAATCAATAACTCAGAGTCTTAACTATTGTAATATGCCAGGTAACAGGAAAATGTCCAGTGACGAGCGACTCCCATTTATTCTCTTTAAGCACAGTGTTACCAGGAGCTGGTGGGAGAGAACTTCCGAGAGCTACAATACTGCTGCATCGATTCAGCTTTTGGGTTCAAAACTCTCTCCTGTCTACACAGAGGAAAGAACATGGCAAGAGACAGAGGGGACGGAGATGGGTTTGATAACTGCGCTTAATTTAATTGTATTGGGGCGATAATTTTAACTGATCTACCACTCTGCTTTCTCTTCTGTCACACTTTAATTACATGTAGTACACATGCTGAGGGCCGAGCTTTAAGAGAGTATGCCAGCCCCCTCAACTACCTGAACAACAGAATGTATACACACAATACATACATGTACACACACAGCCTCACCCACAAATAACCTCCAAGTGTGAGCTTCTAACACGGGGATGGCAGAGCCAGAAAATAACCTCCTGCAGACAAAACTAACAGAAACACGAGAGGCACTTCTCATCCAAAGACGCTCAGCAGCAGTAGGGAGATTTAAGGCAAAGAGCCCATTTCTGGGGAAAAACAAAACAAAACATCCAAACCACCACAGACCTTGCCTGGAAAAAAGACACGGGAGGAAAAAAGATGGGCACTAACCTGAAGGTGACTTCTGGCACGAGGCACTTGACCCCATTATGGAAGGGCCGCGTCAGGGAAATGGTCTGGCTGACCTGATCCACGGCAGACACTCGTCCTTGGTAGACTCCCAAGCTTTCTCCACAATTAATTGACACAATGCTCCCGAGCCAGTCCGTAGCCATATTTCCGGCACACAATTGCTGTAAAGAGACACAGGCCTGGCTGTAACAAGATGCAGAAACTGACAACCTCAATCAGCATCAACGGCATCCCCCGGCCCAGAACCCTGGCTCCCACCCAGGCTCCGGCTTTGTCAGCTTCTCTCTTCTTTGTGGGGTGGAAAAAACATCCATACAGATGCCGAGGATCACAGCGAGCGCGTAAATCCCTGGACAGGGCTTTGCCTATACGATTGTTTGTAACGCAGCTCACCGTTTGCATCGTTAAAGAAATAATTTTGTAACTGAATTCAAGACGAACAGCTTCCAACAGCCACATTTAGCATTTAGTTCTGCCTGCGGACATTCTCCCTGTAATTTCAAACCGGGAATTTATCTGCCCTTCCCTTTTTAAAATTTTGGCACACGAACCCTGGGGCAGAACAGCTTTTGTGAATACTCAGCACTGAGAAGACTGACCTCTGCACGTACAGTTGAAAACAAACCCCTTTAAGGGAACACACAGATAACAGAGGGGGGGAAAAAAACCAACACTGGAACCCAGGACAAAAGTCTTCATGCTCTCCCGAGCCAGGAGCATTAGTATTACCGCCACAATTAGATAAATGAAAAAAGAAAGCTGCACTCCTTTCCAGCATCGAGTTCCACCAAAATACAGGGGGGAAAATGCACTTTGTTTAGTTAGATGTTCAGTCCCACGTAATTCCCTCGGTTTTGATGCTCGACTGAACTTGTACCAACACACTTTGAAGGAGCTAAGCGCATCTTTTGATCTGAGATTTCTTCCTCCAGACAAAGACCACAGGAAGATGACAGGCTCACTAGCATCACGATAGCGCGAAAGAGCTGACAAGCTCAAAAATGAAAATGACTACCGTATGTATTTGCCTTTCATGCTGTAATCAACAGTAAGAGGGAGAAGGCTTTGATATTTACTGCAAGGAACACAGACAGAAAGCGCAGGAGATAACCCAGGAAGATTAACGTCAATATGTAAAGCACATTTCTGTGAGAGTCATTTTAATTCTCTTCAAGCCCTTCCTGTCCTGAGCTTCTTGGAAAAAGATGCAAGGGGGAAAAAAACCAAACTGGGAGTAACTAGGATGCATCCATGCTACCAGAACTAACTCACTTCCCCCAACTTTCAGGGGACTGAAAACAGGGGGTGCTTCAAAGGGCAGCAAACGCTAAATTTGGTCACTAAGCTGTAAATTCTTCAGGAACAGCCTCCTTTCTTTCCTGTTTCTGTGTATTTATATTAACTCATGATAACAATGTCTGGATTCCGAGATGACGGCTGATAAAAAGCACTTTCAAAACACAGATAACACATCCCCGAGTATCTGCAGCGAAATTAACATTTCATTCCCTTTCCTGTTTTTCGTGTCTCTTTTTGAAAACAAGGAAGAGAGTTCAGCACACATCACCATCTTACAAGGATCCTTTTAAAAAAATAAGAGCCTCCTTTTGCCAAGAAAAAAACCCATGAAAATCAATGTTTGCGTGCAAACATAAACCCAAACAGCGAAACTCCCTCATCTCAAAGGATGTCATTCTACTACTTTGTGTGCAAATCACTTAGAAGAAGGAACGAACTGCACGTGCAGCGAACGATTTGCTACATCACACGTGACAAATGTGAGCACATTTGTTTGTTTACACGCACCCGGAAAGTCAACCCTCCTGTCTTATACTCCGAGGTTTTGTCATACGACTCGCGGATATCTTACGTTCCCCCACACCTCTTATTTCAAGCGTACGTTACCGATGCTCCTGCAAGTTTTAAAAGAAACTCAAGTCACAGAGCTTACTCAAACAGGCATGCAGCACTTAATAAAACACGGCTTGTGAGCGGTAACCTAGCGCGGGGTGAGTTGGTAGCTTTGCACGCCGGGCACTGCTGCTTGAGATGAGAGGTGCCACTGTGCGCCTTCCCCCTGCCTGAAAGAGGGGCCAGCACGGAGGCGGTTTCGCTGGCTCACAGCGGCCAC